GGCTTTAGTGTCCATCGACTGTGACTATAGTAACGTCTGCGATACGATCGAAGAATTGTCTGTGGTTACTCCGGCGGCGGCGGAAATGAAGGGTCTTTTCAAATCGAAGCCGCGTACTCCGGCTGATATTGTTCACCACACTCGGCATCTCCTCCTCTACGCCGATCGATCCGCTTCCTTCCCTGACCTTCGAGAATCCAAACGCAACGAAAAGGTTTGGTTTTTCCCTCAAATCTCATTTCTACTTCCCTGATCGATCTGCTTTGATTGATTCCTCACAATTGCTTACGCAGCTAGCAGAACTAAGTAAGAGCTTACGAGATTTGAAGCTCATTCTCTACGGGAACAGCGAGGCTGAGCCTGTACCCGAAGCTTGTGCCCAGTTGACTCAGGAGTTCTTCAAGGACGATACTCTTCGCCGGTTGATCACATCTCTTCCCAATTTGAACTTGGAGGTAACCATCTCCTCCTCTACCATTTGAGAGATATTTTCAAGTTTGAACTTGAATTCTTGTGTGTTTGAATTAATTTTAGGCCAGGAAGGATGCTACACAAGTTGTTGCAAATCTCCAGAGGCAACAAGTCAGTTCTCGTCTCATTGCATCTGATTATCTCCAATCCAACCTTGATCTTTTGGATCTTCTAGTCCAAGGGTGAGTTTAATCATATAGTTGAGGTTGCGTTAAGCATTGCCTTTTAAGATCTTGATCATGAGCGTCCTTCATACATTACATATGGCTTGTTTTATGATTTCTGTCAGCTTCGAAAACACAGATATGGCGTTACACTATGGTACTATGTTTAGAGAGTGCATCCGCCATCAGATTGTTGCAAAGTGAGCAAATTTTATATTCTCTTCCCTTACCACATTACATCCTTCATATACGCAAGGAGACAATCTTGTCTACCGGATTTGTATATAGTAAAAACAGTTAACTAGTGGTGTTTTGTGGAGCATATTATAATAGAAACCACTTCTCTTTATGGCTTTCAGATATGTTTTGGACTCGCAGCACGTGAAGAAGTTCTTTCACTACATACAGCTTCCCAATTTCGACATTGCCGCTGATGCTGCTGCAACTTTTAAGGTTCCCAAACACTGCACACATACTTGAGATTCTCGTAAGATTTTCTCTGAAACACAGGCATCATAACTCCAGTTCTCTGATTTTTCCTTGCAGGAACTTTTGACAAGGCACAAGTCTACAGTTGCTGAGTTTCTCACCAAGAACGAAGACTGGGTAAGTTCTCTTACAATGTCCAAATCAGGAAATCTTGCTTGAATCGATCCAGTATGATTCTCAGCTGTTTTGGTTTACAGTTTTTTGCAGACTACAACTCAAAGCTTCTTGAATCAAGTAATTATATAACCAGACGACAAGCTATTAAGGTAGAGTAACTTAGAGGAGTGTGAAATCACAATTCACAAATGGGTAATCACGTAAAAAGATATCATCTGACGGATTGTAATGTGTAAAATTTTACAGTTGTTGGGCGATATATTACTGGATCGGTCAAATTCAGCTGTGATGACGAAATATGTGAGCTCAATGGATAACTTGAGGATTCTCATGAATCTTCTGAGGGTATGATGCTTTACCCGATACCCTGAATGATTTTATTCTTCATGTCTTACTCTGCCAAACAGATAATAGTATTGGAAATGCAGGAATCAAGCAAGACCATTCAGATAGAAGCGTTCCATGTTTTCAAGGTATCTTTCTTGTACAATAAAGACATGGAGTAGTTTTTACCCAGTGATGCATACTCATCAATCAGACGGCTTTGGCAATTGGATTTTTGATTTTTGGAAAATGTTGTTGTGTTTGTACAGCTGTTTGTAGCAAACCAAAACAAGCCTTCAGACATCATCAACATTCTGGTGGCAAACAGAAATAAGCTTCTGAGATTGTTGGCTGATGTCAAACCGGACAAAGGTATGGGACTTGTATTATGAGACTCTTGTATCACACCAGAGAATGGACCTGATCCTCACCGTAAACAAACTTCTTATGTTTATGATTCATGTCTGTTTGGTGGCAGAGGACGAGAGTTTTGAAGCAGACAAAGCTCAGGTGGTGAGAGAGATTGCAAGCCTTAAGCCGCGAGATCGTGCTTGAGCACTCACATGTACACAGAAGCTCGTGCCTTTTGTTTAATCTTTCAAATACACATTTTTAGAGCATCAAAGATTGTTGTTACGTATTAGGTAACG